AACAAGGTTCGTGAGGCGTGCTGGAGCCTATCCCAGCTGTCTTTGGGCAGGAGGCAGGGGACACACCATGAACCGGTTGCCAGCCAATCGCAGGGCACACACAGACGAACAAACATCCACGCTCACGCCAAAGGACAATTTAGAGTTCTCCATTAACCATGCATGTGTTTGGAATGTGGGAAGAAACTGGAGTAACCGGAGAAAACCCATGCAGGCACGGGGAGAACATGCAAAAATTCCCACAGGAAGGCCGGAACTGGAATCGAACCCTGCCGCTCTGCACTGTGAGTCCTATGCGTTAACCAGTCGAACACCGGGCCGCCCGACACTGGAGAGATTTTTTTTTTTTTGGTGATTAATTGTTAATATGTGGAGATAAGTCATTTTGATGTGACCTAATTTATTTTTTCACCGATTTGAATTTAAATGTTCTAATTCCGAGAAGCTGCACCAGTGGTGATACAGTTTACTCCTTTATATAAAAACAAAAAAAAACAAAGAAAACAAACAAATTCATGCTTAAGACAAGTGAGTTAGCATCATGTTGTATGTGGCCCTCTGTTTTTCCACATGGCAGCTTCTAAAAAGTAATTGCCCACCGAGGACTTGTAATATTAGATCATGTGAGACCTCTACAATCAGGTTTCTGATCTCATCACAGTCCAGAAACAGCCCTTATTTAAGTACTGATGACATAAGATTGAACACTGATGCAGAGAAGGCATCGTCCTAGTCAAATGCTGTACTTGGATCTCAGCACAGCATTTGGTGCAATTGATAATGTTGGGGGAAGAGCGGCCTCCTCTTCCCCGCGTGTTTGTTGAATTTCGGACGAGGAGAATGTTGGCTCTTCAAATAAAGGCTGGAGTCGATGAACAGTTCCTTCGAAGCTTTTAACAGAATATTCTGGGCACCCACCAATTACAGACAATGGCTGCGCATCACGAGTGCGAAGCAGGAAGAGATTCACATCATTTTTATACCATCAGAAGGGCGGTACAGAGACACAAAGTGTGATATCATAACTTTTGTTTCTCTTAGACCGATTCTCAGCTTGCCGCATTCCAAAGTTTGTGCGTCTTCAGCAGGGAGTATTCCAATTCGAGGTGATGATTGTTACAAGGACGCCAAGCTACACTGTGGGCATGGGAAAGTTATACAGCATGACCAAATATGAGCAGAATACAGACTTCATTAATTATAAAATGTTGAGCAGGTTGGAAACTTCTTGTTTGCTTTCAAACTTAGCTTGTAGCAGACACTGTCTGTGTCTTATGTGTTGTGTTGTAATTTTTTGTCATTTTATGTTAACTGTTCTGTTAATGGCAGTGCTGGTACCTGCAGCGGATCTATACTCTCTCCTGTGGTTGAGAGGAAAGAAATTTCATCTGTGCTGTATGTTGCACAAAGAGCACATTTGACAATAAAGTTGACTTGACTTGACTTGAAACTTGGGTGGCATTGAATGGAACAGTCTTAAAATGGTTCAGGTCCTCCTTGGAGCAAATGAGTTACCGTACTTTCTGACCATTGGAGGTTTTGAATCTGATGGAATGGCCATGACATGCGGGGTCCCTCAAAGGTCAGTCTTTGCATCCCCTTTGTTCAGTCTGTATATTTTACCTTTGGGTCAAATGCTTCAGATGTCACGGTTATGCAGATGACACACAGCTGCTATATCTATCAATGTCCCCAAATGCACACAATTAATGCATTGTGTCACTCTCTAAAGCAAATTAACAACCGGGTGAACTAAAATTTCATTCAACTTAACCAAACCAAAACAGAGGTAGATGTTTCCGACAATTAAGAAAAAATGGTGTGACCAAAAAAACTAAAACAAAACTGGAGTCACTGTATTTATAAAGCAAAGACCAAGTCTCAAATCTTTTTTAATTTCAAAATAAGACTAATAAGATGACTGACAAGAGAAGTCCCTTTTTTTAGTTCAATAATGTTGATGTATTTTTACTGCCCCTACTCCCCAAGGTGTTGTGTGACAATTATAAGCAGGGTGACAATCGGCAAAACAGTATTGTTCATGCCACTTTTAATATAATAGCAATGTACTACCTGCTGATTTATTCTTCACGCTCTTGCTTTTTATTGGACCAAAATTATTGTGTGGTGTTTTCAATGGAAGATTTGGATTGAAATGGCTCCCTCACGCAGATTGTTGGTATGAGTGGCAGTCTAACACAGAAACATTTTTTGACACTATAATTCACACACAAACACAGTGATATATTTGTGCAATGGCAGGTTCACACGGCTCTCCAAACAGTGGTATATCATTAGCATATAAATGTGCTACAATGTGAATGCATTCATTGTGTCCAGAGAGAATATGGGTTCATTTCTGCAGATTTAATATGCATGTCAGACATATTGGGAGGAAGCCTTCGCCGTGTAAGCTGCAGATCAATAAGAGGGACATTTCCAACTTCTCCCAAATATAGCTGTCTGCCTTACATGAAACCTCCTTCTCTTTCTGTTCTTCACATTAGTTAAACATAAACTACACACCATCTGCCATCACTCAAGGCAACTGACTTGTTGACCTGAATATTTGGTATGCCATGGGGCATTCACACAGATGCGTCTATGCTGTCATTCCTTTAATCTTTTACATTGCGTTGCAAGAGGCTCCTTTCGTTTGTACCAGGTAGATAATACTTTCAGACTGTCCTGGCACAAAAAGTAGGGATGAGGTGGAAAGGAGACATTGTGCAAAGTGGTTACTCCTAAACATATACTCTCTCCACTGGTAAGGAGAGTACCGGTACTGCTACTGCGTCATGCCTGTGTCCAGTAGTGATAATGTCACACCTCTTCCACGAATCAATGTTTTTGGGATCATAAACAACAAATGTTTTCATTGGTATTATTCTACTCAGTTTCTTCAGGTGGAGTTTCTTCAATAGTGTTGTTTTTATTACAGTAATTATAGTCAACTCACACTGGACAGTTTGTGTTGCTCACCAACCAAAGAACCAGATCACACTCATGCAGGTTTTCAAGGAGAGTTTAGAAATGTGCAAAGAGTGCTGCTCCACTTGAGCTGGAGAGGTGTGTACAATGTTTTGCTCAAGGGGACCTTGACAAGAGCCAGCAACTAGTACCTCTCCAACAACTATTTGTCATTTTTCCATTTTTTGTCAGCCAATCACAATATGTCAGCCACTTTTATCTTCACACCCCTATAAAGAATCTGAATCAGAATCAAATGTATTGGACAAGTATGTAAAAAAAACACCAAGAATGTACTTTCCCCATTACAACCAGCCAAGAGTAAAATAAACAAAACAATAACCGACAGGGAGAGACACAACGGGCAGCCTGGCAGTTCACTATTAAGCGCCCTGTGATATTAGATGTGAAAAGAAAACAACAGGGAAGAAGAGAAGGAGAACAAAATGACAGACTCCAACCATTCTCCTGAGGTGGGAGCATGGTTTGAGCCCGGGAATAAAAACCTCAGCACATGTAGCGTACATTTATAAGACAAGTACAACAACATGTCTCAAATCTGGACAAGCAGTGAATGGGGAGGATGTAAGAGGGGAGTCGGGGATGCGTCACAAGCAGATCGGCGAGTGGCTCAGCATGGGAGCGCTACAAGCCAATCAGGTTGGAGCACGTGGGGCTGGAGAAAATAGGAATCCAACGAAGACGTTGACATTGCAAGGCATGTGTTATTGTCATTTGTTTATGTCTGTGTGTCGAGCATCTGTGGCTAAAGGCCAGGCCTTATCAGTCTCGGGCTCTGTAAGGAGCTACTAACGAAGCTGCTCCCGTCGGCTGAATTTTGCAATCGATCAAGAAAGTGCCAAATTCAAACAGCAGGTGTGTGGCAACAGGCAGAGATGGAAAACATGCAGGACAGCAGCCCTCCAGGACCAGAGTTTGACACCTATGATATAGCGCTTTTACAACAGCTGCAGCTGTAACAAAGCGCTTTACAGAACAGTTAACACAAAATAATAAAATAACAAAACAGAACACATAACAAAAAGACATGGACAGTCATATAATCATAACTACTCTTGCATATGCCTTGTTGTTTGAAGCAGTTCTAGATGATAGAAAAGAGAATTAAAGTCTCCTCTTACCAGTGGATCAGAGACGTCATGCTCAAAACGGGAATGATGTCCCACATGTCGGCTACAAGCAAGTTTGAAAAATAAACAAGAAGCTGTAGCATTTATTGACGATAAAATTAATTGGTTCAATTTTAGATCAGCTTCAATTCCAAGCGGCGATTCGCAGTTCCAAATATGGATCGGCGCACCGCAGCGACGCTCCTCTCTCCTCATCCTCGGCTGCAGCAGCCATCCGTCTAGCCAAACAAATGCTGTCCAACAGTGCTGACATCTCCGCTAAACAAAACAGGGTTGTGAGAAATGCTGTCCATTACAGGTGCAAAAAAAATCGCGCCCTGGGACTGTCAAGCAGAGACATTTTACCCCATCAAAATCAGAGATGGTACACGCATGCTGCCGAAAAGAGGCAACCATCGAGCATAGATACTTCTCCTTTGACGAATGTCATGGCCAAAATGCTGAAAACAGTCCACAACGGGTCCACGCGAACGACAACAAACAACATATGTTAAAACAAATGACAATAACAACAAAAAAAAGCAGATCTCTTGAAGACGGCTGCCAACTAAGGCGCATCAGTGTATTCCAGTCCAGGCTGCCAGTTGAAGTCTCAAAGATGCCTCAGTCAGTGCAGTCCAAGCATTCTTGTATAAACACAGATAAGTTGAGTTGTACAAGTAATAATATATAAACATTTAATTAAATTTTACCGTCGTACCGGCCCACCGAAGGAAGGTGCAACCCCCCCCAAAAAAACAAGTTTGACACCCCTGGTCTAGATCTATTAATAAAATGTAGGTTATTATTCAAAAATACATCCCCTTTCACATGTGCTAAAGGAGAACACAAATACCAGAAAAAGATCAGTGCAGTTGTCCATATGTTAGTATGGCCATATAAGTGGCGAGAAATTCTTGCATCTGCTTCCTCAGACAGTTGCCACACAACATTTCCTGTTCGAATGAGGTAGCAAACCTCCACTCACACAGTTACACAGTCACTTATTCAGCGCATTTTATTCGATTACATTCAACCTAGGTACCGTTCTATATACACGCGGAGTTTAAGTACGTACAGGACACCGCCGCCCTTAGCAGTTTTAAAGACTCAACTTTGTCTGTCTGCCTGATAGGGACTAGTATGGCTCAGGGCTTAAAAACAGCTTTAAAGACCACTCCGTCTTTAAAGACCCGGCATGCAAACACTCATTCAACCTTTGAAAGAGTTCCTTACCTACCAAGAGTAGTCCTCTCTCCTCTGGATTCGCTTCAACCCTCAGCCCCCAGACGAGGAGACGAAACCCAGTCCCGGAAAGGGTGTTTCAGCCATGGCCACGGTCTTCCTGGCCGTCGACTCAGCGTCTGGAGGCATCGGGTATATTGCGATCCCGGACGAGCCCCCAAAAATGTCAGGAATAAAACACAAACAGGAGACAGGAGACTCAATTCTGGTACCAGGAGGGAATGAGGAGAAGCGTTAGGGTGACGTGCAGAGAACTGAAACCTAACGATCTCCCCCCCTCACCCCTCATTTATTGGGAAATCTACTACATAGGTGTGTCCAACCTAAAGGGTGGGGGCTGTTGAAGACACACTGAACTTGTTTGACTATGTGTGTGTATGTGAGTGTAAATTAAGTACATGTGTGCAATTGTTACAAAAACATCACATTGCAGCTGGTGTTGATGGCTCCATCCACTGTCCAACCTTGCTCCTGTTTAGTCTTAATACTTATCTCTTCTCAACCACGTCCTCGGAAAGGTGGTTCCGTCCCTCAACTGCCACACAGTGCTCTAAGCATTCTTGATTATAAATGTAAGTATATAATGATCAAAAGCATTATATCTTTATTAAAAGCATAAGCGTTCTTCATTGCAGGCATAATCAATTAATGATTGCAGGCATAAGCGTTCTTCATTGCAAGCATAATCAATTTATCATTAATAATATGCAAATGTATGATAACTAAAAACAATCAAGCTAACAGATACTGATGGAGGTGAGGGAGGGAGAGGCTTATGTGGACACGGCGGGATCCTTTCGCCGTCCTCTGCTCCCCCCAGGCCCTCCGCGTGATCGTTTGAATTCGGGCTGAGGTGAGGTGCGAAATCAGAGGCTGGAAATGGAGAAGTTGTGTTCAGGGCACAAGTGTGACACAAGCAATCGTTGTGGTCAAGGCACAAATGCGCAAAAGCAACAGCTCTAGACAAGTCTTATATATCCCAAGCAGGACGTAATTCCTAATGGATATCACCCTTTCGGTTTCTGGATGACCGCTCTAATGTTCTCGGCCTTTTATCATTTCTGAATGGAATCTTCAAATACTTTTGTTTTCGAAAGACATCAAACATAGTGGCAGTGCTTTTGATGTTGCAACATTTTAGCTTTACTTAGAAGCCGTCTTAATGCTGGCTTCCACGAAAACCATAATTGTTTACAGGGGCTTTACTTTTGGTTGGACCAAGGATGCAAGCGCGAAACCGCAAGCCAGCCAAGAGATGCACTTACAGCGTTGTCTGGTCTATGTCTGCAAAAGGTGTTAACATTATTTTCCGTTGCTAAGGCTGTTCAAGTCAAGGTCATACCATAAGGTTCAAGTGGAGGTCACATTTCAAGGTTCAGAGCAAGGTCACACTATAGTCCAGGGGTGGCCAACCAGTCAGAGACTAAGAGCCAATGTTTTTACTGTGTTACTGCAAAGAGCCGCATCATACCTTTCCTCGTGCGCGGGCGTGCACACATACGCGC